TACCGACGAGCAGGATGTTGTTTCTAAAGTCAATGATTTCCCCCCTCCCGCCCTCCAGGACTTTGTTCCTAAGGACCTGAAGTGTTTTGCTACTAAGTACGAGACGGTGTCTCTCATGAGAAAACTGCAGGGTGGGAGGGCCGCTGGCCCTGATGGCTCATCGGTTGATCTCATGAAGACGGCACGCATGGAGATGACGGAAGTGGCGCTGCCCTTACCCACCAAGATTCGCGTGGCTACCAAAGAACCCCTCTCGTTTAAGGACGGGAGGGCTGCGGCCTTTTGTAAAGGCAGAGGCTCCATTGCCCTTGCACTTAATCAGCGCAGTATTCTCATCACTAATACTCTGAGCAAGCTGCATCATCGTCATCTCAGGGCGCTCTCAGTAGACTACTTGTACATGGCGCTGCTCACGCAGCAGTGTGGAGGCCTTCCTGGAAGGTCGCGCGACCTTGCTGCCCATTTTGTTAAGTGTTTCTGGGGCGCGGCAGCTTGTCAGCGTCCTTCTGTCGGTCCCCTATTTGTTGACCTTACGGCCGCTTTTTTATTATACCATTGGGCAGCTGGCATTCGACCTCCCAGAGGAACAGGAGGCCCTTGATGAAACACTCAACGCCATGGTGCTGCCCGCCATCCTTGTCCAGGGGACTCGCATCCAGTTGGCCCAGGGACCGCTCTTTGAGAGGCACATCGACAGGCCTCACTTGCTGGCTCTGCTGAAAGATGCGCAAAGAGGTTCCTTCTGGGCCGTCAAAGGCGCTCAAGGATATGTGGTTCCGAGAACTGGCACGGGGCCAGGCACTGTTATGGCCACCGATCGGTTTAACGTTGTGTTTGCCAGTGTGCAACAGGAGATAGAAGCGGAAGCAGCCGCTATGGGACTGGAGTGGAGACCGCGCACGGGGGCCAAGATCTTTTCGAAGGGGGACCCCGACTCTGCCCCCATTATTTCTGTCTCATTTGTGGACGACCTCACCCCCTCGGTCACCTCGCAAGTAGCAAGTGAATTGATCCCCAGGCTTGCCCTGCTCATTGACATTGTATACACCGTATGTGCGCGACACGGTCTCAAGTTGAATTCCAATAAAACCAAGGTGTTGCTGCCCTCTAGGGGAAAGGGCGCGCAGCAGGCGCACAGAGATTTACGTGACATGGATGAACCCCGCATCTCATCCACATATTGGGGGGTCAAGGTGAAGGTTGCACGATCCCGGAAATGTTTAGGCGTTGTTTTGACCGACGCACGCAACGAGGGGGTCGAGGTCACAGCGAGGAGCATACAAGTCAAGGCTGATTGCCGACCCATCAACAAAGCACTCGCTCCACGGGAGGCCCTGTTCCTGCGGACCAAGGTCCTGTATTCTGAAGCCTTCGGTGCGAGCAAGGGGTTTTATGCGTGTGCACTATGGGGGCCCTTCACGGTGGCGAATCAAAAAATGGTTCGCATTTTTTTACGAGTTCATTTTCATATGTGCGTTAGGTTTTCCAGTTGCGAACTCCAGCGGGTTTCAGGTGTCGCACGAAAAAGTTCTGGCCCTCGTGGACCGCATGCCCTGGGAAGCTGTGGTAAACATAAACAGACTTCGTTATTTTGGCCGACTGTTGACTAAGGCACCCCCCCTTTTTGAGGTACCTCCTGGATGCGCGTTTGCGTTCGCGTGATGGGTGGGTCTTGGCCCTCTCCCAGAGTTTTGATTGGCTTTCCAAGTTTGTGGACCCTTCCGACATTCCTGGGGAGGGTGCCTTAGACGAATGGGTGACGGCAGTACGTTTGGATATCCGCCGTTCTCGATCCCTGCTGACGGCTACCATCGCACAATCCAGAACACGGTGGTCAGACCGACACCAGCGATACATGTGGGAGGAGAGAGTCGCCCAGCACGTTAGGGGCACCAGCGTGCAGGAGCCAGAGGAGGAGGTCGAGCGGAAGTACCTCTGCTACGAGTGCGGACAAGTTTTTGTCTCACCCAGGCATTTGAAGGCGCGCCGAGGGAAGTTCCATCCTCAAAGGAACACACCAGCTTACATGGCCGTTGGCACGGATTGTGGCATATGTAGGTGGGACTTTCGGTCCAACGGGCGCCTCTACAAACGCTTGGCACGTGCGAAGCCATGCTTATGGGGACTGTCTGCCGCTGGCGTCCGATATTCGTTGGAGGAGGTGTCCGAGGCCCGCGAATGTCGCAGAAACGAGCAACAAACGAACCGTGCCACAGGCCTCACTGACGTCTTTGCACATCTCCCTCCAAGGAAGGCGACTGGACCCCCGAGGGGGCCCAGGATTGTCCAGGCTGATGTGGTGGTTGCTGAACCCCTGGCCCCAGCGGTTGATCCTCCGCCGCCCCCCCCCCCCCCCCCCCCCCCCCCCCCCCCCATTTATTTTATTCCGCCCCCGCCACCTGCACGCCCCTATCGGCGCATTCTGCTTTTATTTTCGGGGCGGATGCGAGAGGGGGATGCGCAATTCTGGATAGAGAAGTTGATCGAGCAACACCCTTCCCCCTTGTGGTTTTGTCTGTTGACATCATACACCCCCCCACTCTTGGCAATATGACTGATCAGAGGACGATTTCGTTTTGGTTAGGATTAATGAAAGACGGCTGGGTGGCCGCAGTGCGCGCGTGCGTGTGTGCGTGTGTGTGTGCGTGTGTGTGTGTGTGTGGGGGCGCGCGAAACCTGGAGTGCTGCTCGCAACAACCCAGCTCAGGATGGAAGGCTTTGCTCCAGACCATTTCGTGCTGCAGCCGAGCCGTGGGGCTTGGCATATTTAACCCCCAGAGAAAGGACACGAGTGGACACTGCAAACGGGTTGTTGGGGACTACGATTGAGTTCCCAGTGTGCGCCTGGAAGAGTGGAATCCCCGCTCCCATGGAGCACCCTGCTCAGACTGCACACGGAGAGGAAGTCCCCTCGAGTTGGCAGCTCCCAATCTTAACCCGGTTGCGCACCCAGCTTGGAGTGATCTTTCACAGGGTCGACCAGTGTATGTTTGGACGGTCTACCCAAACACCCACGGGACTTCTGGCCGTCCACGCACCGTCCATGACCAGGGTGCTTAGGGAGCTGGCACATCGGGGGAGATGCACTCACAGCGTCCACGCGAATGTCCTGGAGGGGTTTGGCGACAGAGGAGAGAGGCGCATCCCCAGGGCCAAAACGTATCCTTCGCAGTTTTGCCGTTTCCTGGCTGAATGTTTGTTCGAGGATGCCACCCATGGGTTTAACGTTCCTGGCGTGCCCCCTTTGGACCTGCCGGAGGATGTTGCTCCGTTTGCGGTTCCTCTGGGCCCATATTCTAATCTCCAGCACGGGCGGGAGTACGCTCGCACGGCACCTTTCCCAACTCTGACCCCCACGGATGGTGTGCGCGGCGCTTAACACTCGCAGTACCTCTTGAGGTCTTGGCCCCTTTTAGAGGGAATGGTCCGTGGGCTCCTTGTTTTTTGTGCCCCCCAAGGGTGTGCGCAGCACCTACTCTTGCTGTAACTTGGGGGGAGTTTTTATGCTGTCGTGTGCGCGGCACTTTAACTCGCAGTATCATAAGGAAGGGGGCCCCTGGCTTTTCTCGTTGTTCTACTTCGAAGTACTAATGAGAAGGTTGACAGCGCCAGCTAAGTCTGGTTTCCCCTCCCCCACCGTTTCGGTGTTTGTTCATCTCGGGTCCCAAGCGCAGTGTCCTAAGAGTCGTGCAGCTGACCCTGATCTACGCCTTCCAGACGGTGGTCGGTGACTCCGACCGTGCCCTCGAGGACACGGCTATTTAAATCACCCTATAGCGGAGGGTTTGGGCCTTGTATATGGGCGGGGGGGGGATTCACGGAGATGCACGTGGAGGACGCGCCGCTGCCGCGATCGCTGCCTCCCTTTTTTCCTTTTCTATCGCTGCTCTCTGCTCCAGCTGCGTGTGACTCAGACTCCGTCCCTAAGGCCACGAACGAACGAACGAACGAACGAGCAGGAGCAGGGGGATGCGGAGCGAGGGAAACTTTCAGGAGGGGGCGCCGCAAGCTTCTGCAGTTCCGTGCCGGGGCGTGGCGTTCCGGGAGGCCTTGGGAGCTCCGAGGAACCAAGTGGGGGGAAGTGATTGACGAGGAAGAGGAGGAGGAGGAGGAGGAGGAGGAGGAGGAGGAGGTGGTGGTGGTGGCGGTGGTGGACGAGGAGGAAGGGGTGGCGAATGAGGGCGTGGAAATGAGGGGCGGCAGATGCGGAGACGGCGCAGCGGGCCCGCACCCCCCGCGATCGGCGATGTCGGCGGCCAGGGCCGCCGAAGACGGCGAGAGCACGGCCTGGCCCCCGCCTGCGCGGGCGACCTCCAGCGGCACAGAAGCGGTTCGGCGGCGAGCGAGCGAGGGGGAAGTGAGGAGGAGAAGGCCTTCTCAGAAGGCGGCGGGACTTCTCAGAAGCCCTCCGGCCGTCTGCAAAGTTTTGCCATGTCTTAGGGGAAGGCTCAGAAGACTTCTCAGAAGGCCGGGGGACTTCCGAGCCGTCTGAGAAGGCCTTTTCCTTCTCTCTCGTATCGCGGAAGAGGGACCCCAGGGGTCAGGGGAGAGTGCTCTCGCCTGCGTGGTCCTTTTTCAAGAGAGGCGGCGAAGTCACCTTCGGTTGCGCCTCAGGTTGTAGCGCAGGCCTTCTCCTTCTCGCTTCCCCCCCTCGCTCGCCGCCGAGCGGAGGAGGAATCAGCGAGGAGAAGCCGAGAGGCCGAGCGCAGAGGGAGGCGCGACGACGGAGGCGGCGGCAGCGGGGGCGGGGGCGGTGGCGGCCAGCCGCCGCGTGGATCATCGGCTTGTGGGTGTGCAATCCAGACGGTCATGTGTTTGAGCCTGTCATGGTCCACGGTACGAGTTTTGACCCCCCGTGCAGTGTTTTTGGAGCCGAAGCCATCGCCCTCGACGAAGCATCGAAGGAAGTGGCCAGGCTTTTTTTTAGTCGTAGAGCACCAACGGCTGCAGTGCGGGCTGCTTGCGCCGCGCCAAACGAAATCAAAACGGACCCCCCCGAGGAGTCGCTCGCGACCGTCAGTCGGGTCAAGATAGAGGTGTTCGCCTGCATCTATCCAGCTGGGCGAGAAGCCGCCTCCGCCGTGCGGTCCACCGTGCCCTGGTTCGTGTCTTGCCCTGTCCTGAAGACTGGAGACTTTTGTGGGGATGGTTGGGGTCGGGCGGCGGCGCCAGGACCAGGATCAATCGTTCCAGAGCGTTCTGGAGCGCGCTGGGAAGGCCGCGATGCCCGGCACATCTTCCAGAACCGTCGGATCTTAGAGAGCTCCGATTTGCCCAGGTCCGACGTTGTCCCAGTCCTGGCTTCGTCTCGAGTGATATTTCCCCACATCCTGAGTGGGGTTCTTGTTTTCCCAGAACACCCTCTCCTTCCCACCCACCTCCCGCTCCATCACATACCATACCATACCATACCATACCATACCACACCATACGTACCATACCGTACCATACCATACCACACCATACGTACCATACCGTACCATACCATACCATGGCGTACCATAGCATACCATACCATATCACACCATACGTACCATACCGTACCATACCATACCACACCATACGTACCATACCGTACCATACCATACCATGGCGTACCATAGCATACCATACCATATCACACCTCCAGGGAGGCCCCGCCTGAGCGAGGAGGGTATCGGAATACCATACTATTTACATGGTTTCGTGCCCCTCCCACCCCTCCAGGGAGGCCCCGCCTGAGCGAGGAGGGTATCGGAAACCATACTATTTACATGGTTTCGTGCCCCTCCCACCCCTCCAGGGAGGCCCCGCCTGAGCGAGGAGGGTATCGGAATACCATACTATTTACATGGTTTCGTGCCCCTCCCACCCCTCCAGGGAGGCCCCGCCTGAGCGAGGAGGGTATCGGAATACCATACTATTTACATGGTTTCGTGCCCCTCCCACCCCTCCAGGGAGGCCCCGCCTGAGCGAGGAGGGTATCGGAATACCATACTATTTACATGGTTTCGTGCCCCTCCCACCCCTCCAGGGAGGCCCCGCCTGAGCGAGGAGGGTATCGGAATACCATACTATTTACATGGTTTCGTGCCCCTCCCACCCCTCCAGGGAGGCCCCGCCTGAGCGAGGAGGGTATCGGAATACCATACTATTTACATGGTTTCGTGCCCCTCCCACCCCTCCAGGGAGGCCCCGCCTGAGCGAGGAGGGTATCGGAATACCATACTATTTACATGGTTTCGTGCCCCTCCCACCCCTCCAGGGAGGCCCCGCCTGAGCGAGGAGGGTATCGGAATACCATACTATTTACATGGTTTCGTGCCCCTCCCACCCCTCCAGGGAGGCCCCGCCTGAGCGAGGAGGGTATCGGAATACCATACTATTTACATGGTTTCGTGCCCCTCCCACCCCTCCAGGGAGGCCCCGCCTGAGCGAGGAGGGTATCGGAATACCATACTATTTACATGGTTTCGTGCCCCTCCCACCCCTCCAGGAGGAGGCCCCGCCATGAGCGGCCCCGCCTGAGCGAGGAGGGTATCGGAATACCATACTATTTACATGGTTTCGTGCCCCTCCCACCCCTCCAGGGAGGCCCCGCCTGAGCGAGGAGGGTATCGGAATACCATACTATTTACATGGTTTCGTGCCCCTCCCACCCCTCCAGGGAGGCCCCGCCTGAGCGAGGAGGGTATCGGAATACCATACTATTTACATGGTTTCGTGCCCCTCCCACCCCTCCAGGGAGGCCCCGCCTGAGCGAGGAGGGTATCGGAATACCATACTATTTACATGGTTTCGTGCCCCTCCCACCCCTCCAGGGAGGCCCCGCCTGAGCGAGGAGGGTATCGGAATACCATACTATTTACATGGTTTCGTGCCCCTCCCACCCCTCCAGGGAGGCCCCGCCTGAGCGAGGAGGGTATCGGAATACCATACTATTTACATGGTTTCGTGCCCCTCCCACCCCTCCAGGGAGGCCCCGCCTGAGCGAGGAGGGTATCGGAATACCATACTATTTACATGGTTTCGTGCCCCTCCCACCCCTCCAGGGAGGCCCCGCCTGAGCGAGGAGGGTATCGGAATACCATACTATTTACATGGTTTCGTGCCCCTCCCACCCCTCCAGGGAGGCCCCGCCTGAGCGAGGAGGGTATCGGAATACCATACTATTTACATGGTTTCGTGCCCCTCCCACCCCTCCAGGGAGGCCCCGCCTGAGCGAGGAGGGTATCGGAATACCATACTATTTACATGGTTTCGTGCCCCTCCCACCCCTCCAGGGAGGCCCCGCCTGAGCGAGGAGGGTATCGGAATACCATACTATTTACATGGTTTCGTGCCCCTCCCACCCCTCCAGGGAGGCCCCGCCTGAGCGAGGAGGGTATCGGAATACCATACTATTTACATGGTTTCGTGCCCCTCCCACCCCTCCAGGGAGGCCCCGCCTGAGCGAGGAGGGTATCGGAATACCATACTATTTACATGGTTTCGTGCCCCTCCCACCCCTCCAGGGAGGCCCCGCCTGAGCGAGGAGGGTATCGGAATACCATACTATTTACATGGTTTCGTGCCCCTCCCACCCCTCCAGGGAGGCCCCGCCTGAGCGAGGAGGGTATCGGAATACCATACTATTTACATGGTTTCGTGCCCCTCCCACCCCTCCAGGGAGGCCCCGCCTGAGCGAGGAGGGTATCGGAATACCATACTATTTACATGGTTTCGTGCCCCTCCCACCCCCAGGGAGGCCCCGCCTCCATGGTTTCGTGCCCCTCCCACCCCTCCAGGGAGGCCCCGCCTGAGCGAGGAGGGTATCGGAATACCATACTATTTACATGGTTTCGTGCCCCTCCCACCCCTCCAGGGAGGCCCCGCCTGAGCGAGGAGGGTATCGGAATACCATACTATTTACATGGTTTCGTGCCCCTCCCACCCCTCCAGGGAGGCCCCGCCTGAGCGAGGAGGGTATCGGAATACCATACTATTTACATGGTTTCGTGCCCCTCCCACCCCTCCAGGGAGGCCCCGCCTGAGCGAGGAGGGTATCGGAATACCATACTATTTACATGGTTTCGTGCCCCTCCCACCCCTCCAGGGAGGCCCCGCCTGAGCGAGGAGGGTATCGGAATACCATACTATTTACATGGTTTCGTGCCCCTCCCACCCCTCCAGGGAGGCCCCGCCTGAGCGAGGAGGGTATCGGAATACCATACTATTTACATGGTTTCGTGCCCCTCCCAAGCGGGGCCCCGCCAAAGCGAGGAGGGCATCAAGAAAGTGGGTCCCACGAAACCGTTAATTTCTTTATGTGGGGAACTCCGTTAGCATAAGTTTGTTGAAGCGACAGAGGTTGGGGTTGGGTGGACGAGGCTGCTATGATGTTGAACCCCAGCTTCTCTCCAATACAACACCCCCCAACAGGGTATTGTGTTGGAGAGAAGTTGGGATGTTCACCAGTCCTGGGCTTATTATTAGCTGGTCGGCATATACGGACGACTGCCACAATGATACCAACCTTTCTTCCGAAAGAGTTCTTGGTTCCACATGGTGGGCATTGGACGTGGTGGCCCTTGGTGTAGCCCGCGTCATGATACATGGGCCTGGTGGCGAAGCCAGAGGGAAAAGGGCATGGAAGTCCACACCTGGCTGGGCAGTCAGTTGTGATGGGACCGAAGCTGTGCGTCGGACGTCTCCTTGAGCCAAACTGGTTACGGGTTACAGGGGTCTCTCCTCCATCCTCCCCTGTCCCTCCCTTGCTCCTCGGAAAACAAATATTCCGACGTAAGGACCCCACATGAGAATCCGTTTAGCTTGCCCTTACCCCTCTCCTCCTCGCCCTGGTGGACATTCTCCTCTCGCCCGCCGATCTGCCTTCTCCTACTCTCCCTCATGATATTTCGTCTCCTCCTCCTCCTCCTCCTCCTCCTCCACTTCCTCATCATCATCACCCCTTCCCTACCCCTTCCCCGTCCTCATCCTTCCCCTGCTTCTTCTCCGCGCGCTCCTTCCCTTCCCCCTGGTCGGAGCAAGCACACCGATTTAGGGCCGCAGGAGCTGAGCAAAAAAAAAAACGAAAGTTACAGGAATCCGATGACCCGCTCGGATTACCAACATGAAGTGCGGGACCCGTCATCGCGGAGAGTCGCCGCGCAAGCCGCTGGAGGGTTAAGTTTTGGCCCAAAATTGACGACCGCTCGGATCAACAACATGAAGTGCGGGCCTCATAAGGAGGGGCTCCCGCCTCAGACTTCCTCGCAAGTCACTCATAAACGAAACTCCCGCCTGAAGTTTCCTCCGCACTCTAGCTTGAGGAACCCAAAAGTGACGTCAATTACAGGTTGCCGATGACCCGCTCGGATTCGAACATGAAGTGCAAGCCCCATAGGGAGGAGGCTCCCGCGTGAGACTTCCTCGCGATTCACGCACAGACGAGGCTGCCGAATGAGACTTCCCCAATATTGAAGCCTGAGGAGCCCAAAAGTGACGACAGCTACAGGAATCCGATGGCCCGTTCGGATTACCAACATGAAATGCGGGACCCATAAGGGGGGGGCTCCCGCCTGAGACTTCCTCACACTGCACTCACAAACGAGGCTCCCGCTTGAGACGTCCTCCATATTGAGGCCTGAGGAGCCCCAAAGTGACGACAGTTACATGTTGCCGATGGCCCGCTCGGATTACCAGCAGGAAGTGCGGGACCCATAGGGAAGGGGCTCCCGCCTGAGACTTCCTCGCAATTCACTCACAGACGAGGTGCCCGTTTGATACTTCCTCCAAATTCAAGCTTGAGGAGCCCAACAGCGACGACAGTTACATGTTGCCGATGACCCGCTCGGATTACCAACATGAAGTGCGGGACCCATAAGGGAAGAAGCTCCCGCCTGAGATTTCTTCACAATTCATTCACAGACGAGGCTCCCGCTTGATCCTTCCTCCAAATCCAGGCTGGGGAGCCCAAGAGTGACGACAGTTACAGGTTGCCGATGACCCGCTCAGATTACCAACATGAAGTGCGGGACCCATAAGGAGGGGGTTCCCGCCTGAGACTTCCTCACAATGCACTCGCAGACGAGGCTCCCGCTTGATCCTTCCTCCAACTCCAGGCCTGAGCACCCCACAAGGTGATGACAGTTACAGGTTGCCGATGTCCCGCTCGGGCTACCAGCGTGAAGTGCAGGACCCATAGGGAGGGGGCTCCCGCCTGAGACTTCCTCACAATTCATTCACAGACGAGGTTCCCGCTTGATACTTCCTCCAACTTCAGGCCTGATGAGCCCAACAGTGACGACATTTACAGGTTGCCGATGACCCGTTCTGATTACCCACGTGAAGCGTGGGACCCACAGGGAGGGGCTCCCGCTTGAGACTTCCCCACAATTCACTCACAAACGACGCTCCCGCTTGATACTTCCTCCAACTTCAGGCTTGAGAACTTCAAAAGTGAGGACAGTTACAGGTTGCCGATGACCCGCTCGGATTACCAACATGAAATGCGGGACCCATAGGGAAGGGGCTCCCGCCTGAGACTTCCTCACAATTCATTCACAGACGAGGTTCCCGCTTGATACTTCCTCCAACTTCAGGCCTGATGAGCCCAAAAGTGACGACCGATACGGGTTGCCGATGACCCGCTCGGATTACCAACGTGAAGTGCAGGACCCATAGGGAGGGGGCTCCCGCTTGATACTTCCTCACAATGCACTCACAGACGAGGCTCCCGCTTGATACTTCCTCCAACTCCAGGCCTGAGCACCCCACAAGGTGATGACAGTTACAGGTTGCCGATGTCCCGCTCGGGTTACCAGCGTGAAGTGCAGGACTCATAGGGCGGGGGCTCCCGCCTGAGACTTCCTCACAATTCACTCACAGACGAGGCTCCCGCTTGATACTTCCACCACCTTCAGGCCAGAGGAGCCCAACAGTGACGACATTTACAGGTTGCCGATGAGCCGTTCTGATTACCCACATGAAGCGCGGGACCCACAGGGAGGGGCTCCCGCTTGAGATTTCCCACAATTCACTCACAAACGACGCTCCCGCTTGATACTTCCTCCAACTTCAGGCTTGAGAACTTCAAAAGTGATGACAGTTACAGGTTGCCGATGACCCGCTCGGATTACCAACATGAAATGCGAGGCCCATAGGGAAGGGGCTCCCGCCTGAGACTTCCTCACAATTCATTCACAGACGAGGTTCCCGCTTGATACTTCCTCCAACTTCAGGCCTGATGAGCCCAAAAGTGACGACAGATACGGGTTGCCGATGACCCGCTCGGATTACCAACGTGAAGTGCAGGACCCATAGGGAGGGGGCTCCCGCTTGATACTTCCTCCAAATTCAGGCTCGGGGAGCCCAACAGGTGACGACAGTTACAAGTTGTCGATGACCCGCTCGGATTACCAACGTGAAATGCGAGACCAATAGGAAAGGGGCTCCCGCCTCAGACTTCCTCGCACTGCACTCACAGACGAGGCTCACGCTTTATATTTCCTCCAATTTCAGGCCTGAGAACCCCAAAAGGTGACGACAGTTCCAGGTTGCCGATGACCCGCTCGGATTACCAACGTGAAGTGCAGGACCCATAGGGAGGGGTCTCCCGCCTGAGACTTCCTCGCAATTCACTCACAGACGAGGCTCCCGCTTGATACTCCCCCCACCTTCAGGCCAGAGGAACCCACACGTGACGACAGGTACGGGTTGCCGATGACCCGTTCTGATTACCAACATGAAGCGCGGTACCCATAGGGAGGGGTTTCCTTCCTGAGACTTCCTCACACTTCACTCACAGACGAGGTTCCCGCTTGGTACTTCCTACAATGTCAGGCTTGGGAACCTCGAAAGTGAGGACAGTTACATGTTGCCGATGGCCCGCTCGGATTACCAACGTGAAGTGCGAGACTCATAGGGAAGGGGCTCCCGCCTGAGATTTCCTCACACTTCACTCACAAACGACGCTCCCGCTTGATATTTCCTCCAACTTCAGGCCTGAGGAGCCCCAAAGTGACGACAGTTACAGGCTGCCGATGACCCGCTCGGATTACCCACATGAAGTGCGGGACCCATAGGGAGGGGGCTCCCGCCTGAGACTTCCTCACAATTCTCTCACAGACGAGTAAGTGATGACAAAGTGATGAGTGAGTGACGATGATGAGTGAGTGAGTGATGATGATAATGATGAGTGAGTCAGTGAGTGAGTGATCGAGGGATGATGGTGATGCTGATGATGAGTGATGATGTTGAGTGATCGTGCGATGCTGATGGTGACTGGTGGTGATGATGATAGGACGAAGTGATGAGCGAGCGTGTAGTGATGATGATGACGGTGATCGTGCGATACTGGTGATGATGAGTGATCGTGCGATGCGGATGGTGATGATGATGCTGATGAGTGGGGAGTGATGGTGATGATGATGATGAGGAGGAGGAGGAGGAAGCAAGGAGGAGGGGAGAAGAGGAAGGAGGAGGGGGAGAGATCCTGCGCGGAGGGTGTGCAGAGAAAACAAGAACCCCATTTAGGATGCGGGGAAGAAGCACTGCATTCACAGAAAGTTCCGGGAGTCCGCGCGGATTTCTTGGATCGGCGGAGACGCCCTTAGCGCGCTCCGCGCGCTTGGGAGGGGGGTCCAGCCCCGATCCAAATGAAATGGGATGGGTTTCCAAATGTTCTGGTTATGCAGTGTTCCTTCCTGTAGCTCCCTCTCCTCCCTGCTCTTCTCTCCCTCTCTCCCTCCTCCATCCCTCCCCTATTCCCTCCCTCCTCTCCCCCTGTCGCCCTCTGGTATCCCTCCCCCCCCCCCCAGCCCCAGCGGACCTCGCGTCGTTGGCACGCCTCTCCTTCCCACGACGGAGGTGGAGGAGAAGAAGGAGAAGGAGGAGAAGGAGGATCGATGGCAGGAGAATGAGGGGCTCTAGGTGCAATTGGCACCGCATTGGCCTTATGAAGGAGGTCAACCCACCGTAACAGCATCGCGCTTCTCGGACATTGGCTGCACAGATCCTCAATGAGGGCCGATGGTGGAGGGGGGATTCAAAGTGCTGTGGTTGAGGTGTGTAGGCTGGAGCGTTGGGAACCTTTACCGCTGCGTGCTCCTCTACGCCCTTGGGAGCTTCTCTGCATTCCCGCCGTTCGTTGCCCTTCCGGCTACTCGTGCGCACGCACTCATAGTATGTTGATGGTGTGATCACGCACGTGTTTTCTTTTGTTTATCCAGCAAGAGCGTCAGGGCGCAATGGCCATCCCGCCAATGTATGTACAACACAACAAAGATCGACGGCGGGAGAGAAGGCAAGTGAGAAGAAGAAGGATTTCTCAGAAGGCGGCGGGATTTCTCAGAAGCTCTCGCGCCTTCTGATAAGTTGTCCGAGTCTTTGGGGAAGGTTTAGAAATCTTTGTCAGAAGGCACGGGGATTTCCAAGCCTTCTGAGCAGGCCACCATTTTATCATTTCCCCCAGGCTCGCCGCCGAAAAGAGGAGGAGCGGGAGCTACGTAGCCCTGATCTGTTTGGACTGGCCAGCTCGGCGGCGAGAGTGGCCCGGACCACCTCCACTGAGGCAAGGGTGCGGCGGGCTCGTGTTCGCGCTCCCGGCTGTGTCAAGGGGCCTTCTCATGTGGAACAGAGGAGGAGATAATATGTACTTCTTGTTCTCCCTCCTCCACCGACCCCTCTTCCGTTCTCCTTCCCTCCCTCCTTCCCTCCTTTGTCCTGCCATTCCTAAGCCTTCCTCCCTATTCCTCCTCTCTGCTTCCTCCCTCGTCCGTGCACTGTCGTCGGTGGGCCTTGCTCGTGTCACCCCCTCTACAGTCGCGCGTCTCTGAGCGTATGAGCCCCTGTTTAAGTCCTTTCTGCCAGGCTGAATCGACAGGTCTTCGAACGATCGCTCTTGTGAGTTGTTATTATATTATTATATCCCTCCCTCATTATCCGCATTCTCTACCTCGTCATCACCGTCGTCCTCGTTTACGTTTTCGTCATCTCTGGTCTGCCATCCCTCATCCCTCGTCTTTCTCTGTATCCCCCCGTCTCCCCGTTGATGCTCCTCTTTGCCATTTTCCAGTTGTCTTCGGAGGGCTCTGAAGTCTCATGATGTCTCTGGAGGCATTCAGAGGCCCCCCAGCAGCCTCACACAACATAACACAACTGGAAGAGTATGTCCCTCCCTCCTCTCCCGTGCCCATGCTCCCAGTTCTTGTTGCTGGCCCCTCTTCGCTGGTCTTCAACAGATTGGCCTAATATAGTCTCCACGGCCATGGCAGCACCGACATCCATGCGATCACAACGACGACGCCAGTGACGACGGCGAGCCCGATCCCCTGGACATATGGATGACTTGTTCTGAACCCCCTCCTTCCTCCTGCTACTCCTCCTCCTCCGCCTGGAGGGGGAGAGGACCAGAGAAGGAGAGGACGCTCCCCTCCTCCTTCAGGCTCGTCGTCGCCCTCCTCCTTCTCCTCCTCGTCCTCCTCCTCTTCCTTTTCCTCTTCCTCACTCATCGACATGTCTCGCCACCCCCGGCTGAGTGGGGGGTCGTCGGATCTTCCACTCCAGTACATGTTCGAGGGGATGCTCGCCTTCCGGCCGCGACCACAGCTGGGAAGCGGGAGGATGGCTGTTGAGGGGGGAGGAGAACCAGTGCAAACCCAAGATTCATCAACGGTGTTGCAATAAGACTTCCCTTCAACTTTTCTCTTCACAGGCCACCACAAGGGTTCATTCTCACTGATGAATGTGCACCGTTGGAAGACAAGCGCTTGAACATCGACAGGGAGGAGTCATTCATAAGGAGCGGAATGACGACTGCCGGCCACCGTCGATCTGCGCACAGGCCTCGCCAACAAAAACGCAGAACGCGGATGCCGCAGGCGGGAGGCCGGTGCCAACGGGGCGGGCGGGCAGAAGGGGAGCCGGGCGGAGACAGCATGCAGGGAGCAGGAGCAAAGGGAGGTAAGCAAGACAGAGGAGGAGAGGGGAAGCAACCGCCAGCAGACGAAAAGAGAGGAGGAAGGGGAGGAAGTCAGGGGGAAGGGGAGGGGACGCAACCGCAAGCAGACAGGTCGGGCCAGGGGCCCGGTGAGAAGAGCCAGCCGCGACGAGGCTACGGACCCTACGTTGGCGACCTGGGCGGGGTGGCCGACCGAACCCAGCACGCTGCAGCCTTGCGGGGAGAGCCCCTTGCGGGATCATTCACTTCCCTGCCGAGGAAGGACCGGGCGGCGCGCTTGAAGGGTCGCCAGCGGGGCGCCCGTGTTGCCCAGCAACGGGGGTGGGGGGCGGGGGGCGCCAGGTAGCGCCAGGGGAGCTTCACGCGGCGTCTGCCACGCGGGCAGCCGCGGTCGCAGCCAGGCGGGCCGCTGCCAACCCCCGCCCCCTTGAAGTGCGCATGGAAGCGCCGCAGCGCCGCCCGCGCGGTCTCCTTGCGCAGGGAGACGGGAAAGGGGCCGGGCGCAACGGTTCCGCAACAAGCGCGGCGTTTTTCCCCGTGGCGTCGGCCACCCGCTTGGCCAGGACCCATCAGGCGACGCGTGCCTCGCGGCCCCACTTGCCGCCGTGGGTTTCCGCCGCCACTGCCGCGCACTGCCGCGCGGTGCCCTGGTGCTGCCTTTTAGAGTCTTCGCGCGGCCGCCGTGTCGCTCTGCGCCACCGCGGCAGGCAGACGTCGGCAGGGTGGCGGCCGTCGTCGCCCACCCGGGAACCGCCTTGCTTGCCCCTGGCGGTGGCCCCCCAGCGGGGCGCGTGGGCGGTAGCCCCGGGCACTCCAAATCCGCCCCGGCGCTGCCAGCGGCCAAGGCGTCGAAGAAGGGTTGGTTTCGCAGGGCGCTGGCGTTTGGCACGGTCGCCGCGGCAGGCGCAGACCAGGGCGCGGTCGCAGAAGACGTCCATCACCCCGCCACAGGTTGAGCAAAAGCGTTCTTCTTGCTGGAGCTGGACCCGCAGCCGCCTCTGCATTCCGACCTGCGCGAGGCCGCGCGGGAACGCGGCGCCCGCGGCCTCGCGGGGCGGCGCCCGGAGCCATGCGGCAGCGCCCGGGGCCTGCCCCAGTGAGAGGCGCGCCCCGCCGACCAGGGCGGCGCCCGCCAGAAGCTTCCACGTCGGAGAGGACCTGCTGGCCGCCGTGCTGCGCGCGGTCGAACACCGCCCGGTCGGCGCCCCGCCCGCGGCCGCCAGGCTACCCCCGTCGCGGTCAGCGCTGTTGGGTTAGCCAGGGTAGAGCCACCATCAGAGGCTGGTACACTTCGCTCTGGAAGCGATGTCGTCGGCGGAGGCTCGGCGGCGCGATTCGCGGCAGGGCGCAAAATTTCTCCCTCGTTGATATTGAGCTGAATCTGCCGCCAGGAGGAGTCGGATGGCGAGCAGCCGCTCAGTTGCTCAAGGCAGGCCCAGGCAGCGTCGCCCATGGCCAGCAGGGAGGCGGCGCGCGCGACGGGCGGCACCGCGCGCGCGGAGTAGCCCAGCTTGCAGAAGAAGGCGCACCGGCGCAGGAGGCGCAGCGCGACCTGCGCTGGCGACCCGCTGCTCGGCGTGCCCCGCGCGGAAGTCCGCATCTCCCACTCGCGCGCCGAGCGGCTCGAAGCTGCGATCGGAGGTGCAAGCCCAGCGGGAAACCGCCCAGGGACGCGTCGGAAGCGTCTCCGCCAGCAGGGGTCATCTCGCACTTGCCCGGGCCAGTGCTCAGCAGGCCCGCTGCGGCGACGTTGACCAAGCGGGGGGGGGCTCGCGACGGCTGGCGCGTCGCCCGCGAGGGCAGCCGCCGCCCAAGTAGATGGAATTCAGATCGACGGCGCCGTCGACGCAAAGCGGACGGCGGCTTCGGCGGCGCGCTGCACGGGCCCAGGGGGTCACTTTGCTGCACCCCGCTCTCGGAGCGGATTGTCTGTCGGGCGGGAGTGCCAGCCCAGGAAGCTCTTCGTGGACCGCGCAGGGCAGAGCCTGCCCTTCCAGGATGTTGATGGCGCCGGCTCAGTCCACCTTCACAAACACCTTCCCTTGGTCCCCGAGGTGGCGGGCCCGCCGCTGGCGCGCGACGCGCGCCGCCGCCTCGGTCCCGCCGGGGGCCGCGACGCCGATCTGGAGGGGGGCCTGTCGGTCGCGCGCGGCGTCGGGGCGTCGGCAACTTTGTGGCAGGGGCAATTGCGGACGCGGCGCCAGAGCACCTCCCCGACGGCGACCAGGAGCAAGCCCCCGCCCGTCTTCGGCAAGACCACCAGAGTGGCGCCCGCGAAGTACTCGGACACGGCCGGCGGGGCCTGCCCCCTGGCGCAAGGGTCAACGAAGTGCCGGAGCAGGTCCGCGACCCCGCAGGCCGCGTTGAGCAGCGTGTCTTGTAGGGTTTTGGGTCGGATGCCCGTTGGCCCAGCAGCCGAGCCCCGGGGGGGGGCCGCACTTCCCTCCGGACCGCGTTTTTGCCCATTTGCAGGCCGTGGACTGCGGCCGGCTGGGTCCACGGCTCGGCGGCTGCGCGGTATTTTCAACGCGTTTGTTCGACGACGTCGGGCATGACCTCCACGGGCGGCTCGCTGGTCGAGCTGAGCAGTTCTGGGAGTATTGGGCGTCCGCGGAGAGCTGCGCGCACCTGTCTGTTCGTCGCGAGGCTCGGGGCGCGGGATTGGCAGCGCGAGCCTTGGCGGCCTCGGCCCACATGGGGGCCCGCTCCCCGTCCAGCCAGCGCCAGCACAGCGCCTTGGTCTGCGTTTCGCTGGCCGCCCTGCTGCCCCGGCCGCCGCGGGCGTGAAGGCGCGGGGCGCATTTCAGGAGCTCCGCAACGTCTGTCCACGCAGACTCGGTGTTGTTGTCCACGGTCTGGGCCACCGCCTGCATCAACCACCGTGCCTACAGGCCCCGGGTGCCCTTCCGGACGTAGTGTTTGGTGGTGGAGCGCTCGGGGGCGTCTTCCCGGACGGAAGGAAGACCTAGCGGCCGCGCGCGCGGCGCGACGCCAACGCAGGCAGACGCCGCCGAACTGCGTCGAAGAGGAAAAGGACGAGGAAAAAAGGACGAGGAAAAAAAAGGAGGAGGAGGGAGGAAAGAGGAGGGATGGAGAAGGGACAAGGCAGGGGGAGGAGGAGGAGGAGGAGGAGGAGTTGGACGAGGACGAGGACACAGAGGGGAGGAGGAGGAGCAACCGGAGAAGGAAGAGGATTAGGAGGGGAAAGAGGAGGGGCAGCAGGAGGAAAGGGAACGGATATGAGAGGACGGGCGAGGAAGGAAGGCGCGCCGTCGAGAGGCGAGGGAGAGAATAAGTAGAAGAGGCAGAAGAATTGGCGAGGCCCCGAGAGCAGGAAACACGGCGGACAAGCGTCAATCAAGTAGCACACGAGTTCCAAGTTCCAGCACTGTCACAAGGGGGGCCTTCGTCCTCCTCCTCCTCCTCCTCCTCCTGCCCCCCTTCCTAATCCTCATCCTTTTCCTCCTGTTCCTCCTGTTCATCCTCCTCCTCTTCGTCCTCTTTTTCTTGTTCGTCCAGCTCCCCATCCTCATCCTCATCCTCTTTTTCCTCTCTTGCCTCATGGGCCGCGCCCGTCCTCCTCGCCCCCCTTTCTAAAGCCGCACCCTTCCTCCCCGGCCCGCCTCCTCCTCCTCCTCCTTCTTTTTCCCTCCTCCCGCGTTCCCTCGTCCTCCTCCTTTTCCTCCTCCTCCTCCTTTTCCTCCTCCTCCTCTTTTTCCTCCTCTTCCTCCTCTTCGCCCCCCCCCCCCCCCCCCCTCTCTTTGTCTCCTATTTGCGCCATTCGAATCGGATGCCTCGTTGTTCTCCAGGCTCGCAGTTCCGGGGCGCGCGCACTTGCGATAGAAAGGAAGACGTCGGCATTATTGCCGCCATCTCTCCGCGCCGCCAACCAACCCCCGCAACTCGGGATTGCGCCGGAAGCAGGGGCGATCCCAGCACGCGATCCGGAAACACGTAAAGCGCGATGTGGACGCGCAGTCGCACTCCCCGTGCCCTCCGCATTGGCACCGCCGAACAGTCCTCAGCGGGCTGCGCTGACGTTGGTCTGCGCATCTAACCGACTTCGCCCAATTTCCCCAGAGGCTCGACGAGGCGAGCGCCTACCGTTGTTCAACGCCCCGTGTCGTGTAAGCGCTGCTGCGTTGAAATACGCGAAATAGAGCGCTAGGAACAACGAGCGGGCAGAGGTCCAGGAGGAGTCCGCGAAGGTCGTCGAAGCGGGCGGCGGTGACTTTGCAGCGGAAGGTGACCGCGAGAGCTTCGAGGAGGTCGACGATGTCGACAACGCCGACTTCGAGGAATGCGAGGGGGGAGTTCGAAGGCGGCGAGGAGGGGGGGGCGGCGAACGCCACGAGGTGATCAGTGATTCACCTGCGTCGCCCAGCGGTATCGATGATGACCGCGATCGTTCATCGGAGGACGGCTCGAGTCACCAGCCACCGACGTCACCATCAAGGCAAAGCATCACCGCAAGGACGGCGCCAGGAAGGTCCCATTCAAGGGCGAGCCGCGCAGCGATGACGGCATTGAGCGCAACAGCACCACGCGCAGATATAAGACGCATCGCAAGGACGGCGATGCGAAGGTCAGCAAGCACGGCGGCAACAGAAAGCTGTCGAGTGATGCGACGATCAG